CCACATCCAAGTGATGCCTGGAGCCACCGGAGGCTGGAAGAGATGAGGAAGGATTCTCCCCTAGAGCGTTCAGAGGGAACACGGCCCTGCTGACACCTTAATTTCAGACTTCTAGCCTCTAGGGTTGTAAAGAAAATAAATTTTTGTCGTCACCAAGTTTGTTGGCTACGACAACCCTAGGAAACTAGTATCTCCTAAAGGTACTATTTCTAAATAGCTACAACCAAACCTTGATTGTTTTTATAGAAGGGCACATGGTCAACTGATACCATTGAATATGGTATTGAATATGGTTCTAATATTTTAATATTTTTTGGAATATTTTGAGTTTAAATTGTGACACAATCTATATACAAACACACTTTTTTTTGTCATTTAATGAACACCTGAGTATCTACAATTTACCAGCTATTAGAGTAGGACGTGTTGGTGAATAATAGACAAATATTTATTGAGGGCTTACCACATATCAGGTTTATACTAGTGATCCATCAGCAAACCAGAGACAAAATTCATTGTTTTCATAGACCCTACATTCTAGAGCAGTACTGTCCAATAGAATTTTCAAAGATAGCAAATATGTTCTGCATCTGCATAGACACTAGCCACATATGAATACTCAGCACTTGAAATGTTGCTAGTGTGCATGATAAGTTAAATTTTAAATTAAATTTAATTTAAATTTAAGTATCCTCATGTGTTTTGTAGCTGCCACATAAGACAGTGCATTTCTTGAAGATGATACAGTTCACACCTTCAAGGTACAAAAAGGCTAACTCAGATAATTCATCAGTAGTTATACAGGTATAAACAGTGCGATAAGTGTGGCTGAAGTTCTGTGGGAGCCCGCAGCTTTTTTAAGTTACTTTCTGTTTTTATCTTCCAGCCTTTTCCACCACACACTGTAGATGTTTCATCAGCCAAATCAGAACAGAAAGCTACTTTATCCAAGTGTTTTGTTTATGGAAGCCTTCCTATAGAATTGATTATCTGTTAGATAAGACTTTTTTCTAATTATATTAATGTCTTCCCTCGTCACTGCTGGCATATGTAAAAGTAACATAGTGGGCTGGTAGATATGATTTCTAAATTGGATAGTTTACCAGGCAAATCTGGGTGACAAAAGAGAAATATGTATTTCTTATATTCTGTTTTGAGGTAATGGGTCGTCTAACAATAAATCACAAGTGTCTCTCACATTTATTGAAATGTCTGTGACCTAATATGTCCCATTAACATATTTACAAGCACATGCTACATGGCACAAGGTGATTCTTAATGACGATGGAAGCCACAAAATCGAACTTTCTCTTTTCTTTGAATGCCCTAGTTTTAAATCACAGACTACATTTTAAGAGGCAAATTATTTCTCCTTGAACAATGTCACTATCAGTAAGCTCTTTCCTTCCAATCCTTGACACACATACATACCACCTATATTACAAAGCAACTTTATTGATACAAGAATGTGTTGTCAAATGAGCAATGTTTGAGTCCAGCCACAAGGGGGCAGCATCGGCAAACATAGACTGTCCTCTGAAGTGGGTGGGCAAAATAGTCTGATTGGTTTTCTTAACTTGCAGTCACCTCTCCTTTCTTTCCAAAATGCACACATCTGCTTTCCAAAATAGACCACAACTATTTCTATTGATCTGGAAGAAGCTTATACCAGGCAACCCATTTAGGAGCAGTTGGATGAAGAGGAAGGAGAGGGAGATGCTACTCATCACATCAGTGTTGGTCTTATGGATGCAATTGTCACGTGAGTTTGAGATGTCCCTGACTGCTTCCAGAGAATAAATCCAACAGGATAGAGAAGTATCTGCAGGCAGGGAATGGACTTTCTGTTTGAAAAACAAGAATTAAGAGAAAGGGAGAGAAACAGAGAGAAAGAGACAGAAAGAATAAAAGTTGAGGGAGATGGGAAGGGAAACATGGACAGAAAGGGAAAAAAAGAAAAGAGAAGTGAGAGAGACCCGCGTAGCTCAGGGACTAAATATCTACTCTGATTTTATGTGATGCTTCCCATTGTCTTTCTAAACAGAGGTGAATGGACAACAAATAATGCAAATTCCTCAGTACCAGCATGTACAAGAAGGAGAGGACTTCACCACGTACTGCAATTCCTCAACTACTTTAAACAATATACAGTGGTATAAGCAAAGGCCTGGGGGACATCCTGTTTTTTTGATAATGTTAGTGAAGAGTGGAGAAGTGAAGAAGCAGAAAAGACTGACATTTAAGTCTGGAGAAGCAAAAAAGAACAGCTCCCTGCACATCACAGCCACCCAGACTACAGATGAAGGAAGCTACTTCTGCGCAGGGCACAGTGCTCCCCAAGCACCTGCTGCCTGTCTCCAAATCTTGCCCTGGGTCTTCAGGAGCAGATCATCCTACTCTCCCTAAAGAGCAGGAGCCAGAGAAAGCCAAAGTCACAATGTCTGTGAGGATATCGAGCAACTCCTCCCCATGAGAGTAGGAATGCATGCAGAAAATCACTCTGTTAAGACCTGGCAGCGTTTAGCAGTTTTATTTCCTAAAACTTGACTACAGGTTTTCTTCTACACAGGTGTCTCAAAGAATTCGAATTGTCTTAGGAAGAATCGGTGGATTTTAACAAAGTTATCTCACACGGTAAGATTTACTTTCTGTGGTATACAAGGTCTATGGTACAGTTCTCACTAACCCTTTGATTCTGTTTCCTATCTTTATAGTTTTGCTCTACCCATATGTATTAATAATATAAATAAACTCACACAATGTGTTAGTCCTTTGGACTTAGTTTTCTTTATTTACCAAGACACAGTTGAAGATTCATCCATGTTCTTGCGATGAGTCAATATTTCATTTCTTTTTATTGCTGAGTAGTACTCAGTCATATGGTAAACCACTATGTATTTAACCTTCTCCAGTTGAAGGACATCTGGTCATTCCCAGGTTTCAGTAATTATGAATTAAGCTTCCGTAAACATTCACATGGACATTTTTATGTGAACATAACCTTTATTTCTCTTGGCTAAATACGCAGGAGAGAGATTGATGAATCATATTGTAAGTGAAGTTTTAACTTTATAAAAGATCCAATCTGTTTTACAAATGGCTGAGCATTTCTCTTTCCTATCACCAATGGATGAGAGTTCCAGTTGATGTGTAGCCTAACCAGTACTTGATATTCGTCATAATATTTGAACTTTATCCATTCTTACAGTTGAGTAGATGGTAAGTTACTTAGTATCTTGAGGTTTCAGTTCTTTCTTTAATAAGTTGGAATTAAAATACCTGCTTCATAAAAGCAGTATTATCCTTACTTGTTTTTAATTCTTATCTCCTGTAGTGACAAGAAAAGCAGAGATTGGACTAATGGACCCCATCATTGTAAAGGGTAAGAGAATCACTCTAATCACTCTAACAGCATGGAGATACAGATTGGATGTGACAAAAGAAAGAAAGAAAGAAGGATAGAAACAAGAAAGAAAGAGAAAAGAAAGAAGAAAGAAAGAAAGAAAGAAAGAAAGAATAAGAAAGAAAGAAAGAAAGAAAGAAAGAAAGAAAGAAAGAAGAAAGAAGAAAAAGATAAGAGGAAGAAAGCGTGATTAATGCCTTCTGAAGGAGGTCTTTTATTTTATTTTATTTTTTATTTCTTATTTTTATTTTTTTGGAGACAGATGTTTCACTCTGTTCGAGTCTCAGGCTGGAGTGCGAGTGGCGTGATCTATGCACACTCACCTTGAGGAGGTCTTTTAAGCAGATCTACAGATGTTGTTTTGGTAACAGTAGTCAAGGTGCAGTTCTTTGTGAAAACCTTCCGCAAAAAAATTCTAATGAAGAAAGGGTTTTTTGGAGGACCACACAAACAGTTTCAAATTTGACACTACAGTCTAAATTGAAATTTGTCAGTCCACCCCTTGGTTTCTGTACATGAGTGTCTCCCAGACAGAAAATATTGGAGAATCAGGAGGATGAGAGCCCCTCATCGTGTGCCTTAACTAACGAACGTACACTGGGAATAAAAGAAAACAATCAGTAAGGGAAATAAAAATAATCGGAACATACTCTCCTGAAATTTGTAGTGAATCAAAATGAATCCTAAATTATACTGGTAAAGGTGGTGTGTGTTGGTGTGTTGGTGGTGTGTGTGTGTATGGTTTTCCTTCTTATGTGAATCATCTCTGGCAGCTGTTTTTTGATGGATGAAAATCCATTCCCCTACTGGCAGTAAAGGTCATTTTTTGATCCTTTCCAGAATTATTTATGAGGTCTTTTGATAATTCCATGTTCTATTTTCAGTGCTGTGATTTCTTGGTCTGATAGTATTATTTTTTACTTTGGCATGTATTGTAAGCAAAACACACAGAAAATGTATGAAAGGAAAATGAGAAAAGAAGGAAAACTTCTTGGGAGAAAGGACCCACCTGCCCCCCACCCCCCAGAAAGGTAATAATTTGACGAGGATCAGGTGTGCAAAAACGGCCAAAGCTATGACGGAAGAGGAGAAAATAATTTTTACAATAATTCTTAACATAACTGTGGTTTGGCACACTCTGAAAAGCCTTGGGAAAATGTTAATAATGATGAAAACAACCTATTCAAAAAATTAATAGTGCTCTTAGAAATTAACTAAATATGTGTTGTGCTCCCCAGCCATATTTTTCTATATATATGTTATTTTGTTTTACAAGGTGGCATACTACTATTTTGCCATTTGACTTGTTCATAGTTTGATAAATTAAATTAACTACCTGTCACAACATTTCATCACAAACAATTTTATGGGCTAACAAAATGTTTTATTAGAAAGGTGCAAAAACTTTATTTGGACATTTAGCTGACCAAATATCACTGATTTTAACTTGTTTAAACCTCCAATACAGTTGTATTTTGTTTTATCCTCTCTTTCCTAGGATAAAAATCTTTGTTAAGATACTGAGAAATTCAAAGTAATTAATCAAATCAGTGAACACCCTCTTGAATCTGTTAACATTTCCCGTAGTCTAGCCATATGCATGAACATGCTACCAGAACTTGAATCTCACTTCATCTGGGCCTTGTGGAATATAATCGCAGTCAGAAGAAGTGAAAGAGAGAAGACCAATGCCTCAATCTGCTTCATGGTCACCCTTCCAGTTTTCGTCTAAACTCCTCATTTTAAAAAGGCTCTCTTCACTCAGTTCTCTGGAAAGGGTGGTTACTGCACCATAATCTTTATGCTATGTCGGACTGCATTGCATTGAACAGATGAGTTCTACAGAGGTGACTCTTCAGGGAGTTGTCGTAAACCTTCTTTTAAGTTTGTGTACGTAATGAAAATTGTTTAATTTTCAAATCTTCCACAATACAATTGAGCTAAAACCTTAAAGAAACTGCTTGGAAACCTCTGTACCACCCAAACAGAGGGTCCCAAACCCCGGCGGCGGAAATCGGTAACCTTCTGTGGCCTGTTAGGAACCTGGCCGCAGAGCAGGAAGTGAGGGGCAGGTGAGCATTATTGCCTGAGATTCGCCTCCTGTGAGATCAGCAGCATCATCAGATTCTCACAGGAGCCCGAACCCTATTGTGAACTGCGCATGCGAGGGATCTAGGCTGCTCTCTCCTTATGGAGAATCTAACTAATGCCTGATGATCTGAGGTAAACAGTTTCCCTCATGGTTAGGGGGATCCCTAAACCATTCCCACCCTGCTCCGTGGAAAAACTGTCTTCACAAAAAACTGGTCCTGGTGCCAAAAATGTTGGGGACCACTGCACTGAAAGATGAACTCAGACTTTTTATATAAATATCTGTATCTACAAA